TTAAAACTGGTATGGAAGATAAGAAGAGCACCTGGCAGCCCCTCAACTAGCCTAGGAACTTTGGAAATATCTCCTTAGGTCCCATGTATAAAATGCCAACAGCATTTACTCTGCCTTACCCATTCCAATGGAAATCCCACAGAAGTGGTTTAAGACAAGGTGCCATGTTCTGTAAGGAAGCCTAACTGTTAATGGCACTCATTTTCCCAAATATAAGTAACCATAACATGTTAAACTTAAAAACAGATTTGTTATTGGGCACCTGGGTGGCGTAGTCAGTTAAGCGTCTGACTCTTAGTTTGCATTCAGGTAATGATCTCAGGGTCCTGAGATCAAACCCTGCATTGGACTCTATGCTCAGCTTGGAACTCTCTCTCTCTCTCCCTCTGTCTCTCTCTCTCAAATAAATAAATCTTTAAAAAAAATAGATTTGTTATCACTAAAGAATAAATCAGTAAGAATACACTAGAATTGAAATACCAAAAAAATACAGCAATAATCTGGGGCACCTGGGTGGCTCAGTCAGTTAAGCATCTGCCTTCATCTCAGGTCATGATCTCAGGATTCTGGGATCGAGCCTTGAGTCTGAGTAGGGAGCCTGCTTCTCCCTCTCCCTCTGCCCCTCCCCCCACTGCTCGTGCGCTCTCGCTCTCTCAATAAATAAAATCTTTAAATATATATATATAGCAACAATCTAATACAAGACATAATTTGGCAATCCAAACATGGTGGGAACTAGAATACACTAAAGAATCCTCTAAAGAGCAATATTAGAAAAACTGTTAAAATCTCCTTGGTTCTTTGGGGAAACATATACTAACATGCAAACACGTGCATACACACACATACACACTCACATAAAAGGAAAAGCCAAAGGAAATCTTAAAGAGGTTGTTTGTGTTTGGTAAGCTTATGAGTAATTTTTATTTTCTTCTTCATATTTTTCTATATTTTTTCAATTTTCTACATGAGTATATACTACTTTAATAAATAATAAATTCTCAACATAGAATTCACTTATATTAATGAAAACCCAGAAGGAGAATGGGGAATGTTTTCTCTTTTTTTAACTTTAATATTTCAAACATATACATATTTAAAATGTCATGTATCTATCATCTAGCTTCAATTACCAATATTTTGCCAACCTTCTTTCAACTATATCCAATCATCTTATTTTCTAAAGTATTTTAAAAGCAAATCCCAACCCCATGTCACTTAACCTGCATATATTTAAATATGTATCTTTAATTAATAAATATATATGTGTGTGTGTATATATATGTGTGTGTATGTATATATATATACATATATACACACACATACATATATAGCCACCATGCCATCATTACATCTAATAGAACAATAATTCCACAGTATCATCTAATATCTAGTCCATATTCAAAAATAAGAATGGTCCTTTGGGCACCTGGGTGGCTCAGTTGATTAAGTGTCTGCCTTCAGCTCAGGTCATGATCCCGGGGTCTTGGGATGGAGTCCTGCGTGGGGCTCCCTGCTCAGTCAGGAGTCTGCTTCTCCCTTTGCCTCTCCCCCCTGCTCATGTGTGCATTCTCTCTCTCTCTCTTTCTCTCTCTCCCCCTCCCTCTCTCGCAAAAATAAATAAATAAAATCCTTAAGAAAAAATGGTCCTTTCAATTTAGAAACCCATCTAGGGGTACCTGGGTGGCACAGTCGGTTAAGCATCCGACTCTTGGTTTCAGCTCAGGTTGTGATCTTAGGGTCATGAGGTGGAGCCCCCTTGTCAGGCGCCATGCTCTCAGCACAGAGTCTGCTTAAGTTTCTCTCTCCCTCTCCCTAAGCCCCTCCCCCCTCTTCTCTCTCTAAAATAAATAAATCTTGGGGCGCCTGGGTGGCTCAGTTGGTTAAGCGACTGCCTTCGGCTCAGGTCATGATCCTGGAGTCCCTGGATCGAGTCCCGCATCGGGCTCCCTGCTGTCAGCAGGGAGTCTGCTTCTCCCTCTGAACCTCCCCCCTCATGCTCTCTCTATCTCATTCTCTCTCTCAAATAAATAAATAAAATCTTTAAAAAAAATAATAAATAAAATAAAATAAATAAATCTTTTTAAAAAAAGGGGGGGGGCACCTGGGTGGCTCAGTCGGTTAAGCGTCTGCCTTCAGCTCAGGTCATGATCCCAGGGTCCTGGGATCGAGCCCCGCATCAGGTTCCCTGCTCGGCAGGAGGCCTGCTTCTCCCTCTCCCACTCCCCCTGCTTGTGTTCCCTCTCTCGCTGTCTCTCTGTCAAATAAATAAATAAAATCTTTAAAAAAAAAAAAAAAAGAAATCCATCTAGAAAATTTTAAATTGTGCCACTACCTCATACCCAGAATGCATAAAGAACTATAAATCAGTAAGAAAAGCAAGACACAAAAGAAAAATATTCAAAAGGCTTAAAAAGGCACCTCAATAAAAGGGAAAATCCAAACAGCTAATGAACATAAGGAAAAAAATCATAACGCAACTTAAAACCACAAGTTACTACTACACACACCCAACAAAATGGCTAAATGTAAAAGAATGACAATACCAAGTATTAGGTAGGATGTGGAGCACTAGGAACTCAAAAACACTACTATAAGAAGGTACAAACTGAAAAACAGTTTTCTTCTAAAGCTAACCATACGCATACCCTATAACCACTACTAGGCGTACATCCAATATAAACACATGCTTCCATATCCAGGGAAACGTGCTGAACATTCATGAAAGTTTTGCACATAAAAGCCAAAACTAGAAGCAATCAACATGACCACAGCAGAACAATAAATGCACTGTGGAATATTTATACAATAGAATAACATACTGTAAAGAAAATGAATGAACAATAGCTACAGTGCAGAAAAAGCTTATAAATGTTTATAATGCATGAAAGAAGCCAGGCATAAAAGAATACACACTGAATGATTCTCCTAGTTATATAAAATTCAGAAACAGGGTATAATTAACTACATATTTAAAGAAAAGAAGTATATGACTGCCATAAAGTCAGAATAGTGACTATCTTTGGAGAAAAAAGGGAAGACCATGATCAGTGAAGAAGGTGTGCAGGGGAACTCTAGGGTACTTGAGGTCAGTGATGGTACACAGGTGTTCACCTTGCAAAAATTTATGAAGCTTTAAGTTATGTTTTATGCACTTTCCTAGCTTTCAAAACATAGAAAGTTTAAAAATACTATAATAATAGATTCAGGCAAATATTATCAATGGATGTAAATTCACTAGATGAAAGGCTGCTGGAATACAGGATATTCATCTAGTCTCTAAGCATCACCCTATAAATCTCTTACTAATTATAAAGAGAAATCCTTGACCAGATCCTTCAGATGAGGGAAAAAATTTATATATATATTATTGGCAAAATTAGTATCCCATGAATATGATCTATATATTAAATGATATACTAATGTTAAATTGCCTTGGCATTTTTGTTTTTGTTTTTGTTTTGTTTTTGTTTTTTTGTTTTTTAAGATTTTATTTATTTGACAGAGACACAGCAAGAGCAGGAACACAAGCAGGGAGAGTGGGAGAGGGAGAAACAGGCTTCCTGCTGAGCAGGGAGCCCGACGTAGGACTCGATCCCAGGACCCTGGGATCATGACCTGAGCCAAAGGCAGACGCTTAACGACTGAGCCACCCAGGCGCCTTAATTGCCTTGTTATTAAAACACACGTAATAATTAAAGGAGAACTGTCATAATGTCTGCAACTTACTTTCAAATGTTATAGCAGATAGAAACACAGAGAAAGAGGGGCACCTGGGTGGCTCAGTTGGTTAAGTGACTGCCTTCGGCTCAGGTCATGATCCTGGAGTCCCTGGATCGAGTCCCTGGATCGAGTCCCGCATCGGGCTCCCTGCTCGGCAGGGAGTCTGCTTCTCCCTCTGACCCTCCTCCCTCTCATGCTCTCTGTCTCTCATTCTCTCTGTCTCAAATAAATAAATAAAATCTTTAAAAAAATAAAAAATAAAAAAATAAAAAAAAAGAGATAAAGAGAGACAATGGCAGAGCAATGGAAAAAACAAAGGAAATGAGGCAAATATTAACAACTGGAGAATCTAGGTGGAGTATCCAAGTGTTCATGCACTACTTCAACCTTTCAGTATGTAAGACATTTCCCAAAATAAAACAAGGAGAGAGGGAATAAAAGGTTTCAAAAAGGAAGAACAGCAATAGCAACAAAAGACAGAGTTTACATGTATTAGGAGGAGACAAAAAGGACTGGATTATTTCTAGTATATTATAGTCTCACGAAAAATAACTGGAAAGACTGTAATAATATGTACTTTTTAAAAAAGAGAAAAATCGGTGCGCCTGGGTGGCTCAGTTGGTTGAGTGTGGGACTCTTGATTTTGGCTCAGGTCATGATCTCAGGTCCTGAGATCTAGCCCCCACACCCCATAGGCTCCATGCTCAGCAAGGAGTCCACTTGGGATTGATTCTCTCTCTCCCTCTCCCTCTGCCCCTCCCCACACACATGCATGTGCACACTCTCTCTCTAAAATAAATAAATCTTTTTTAAAAAATAAATAAATAATAAGAAAATCTTTCACAATTTGTGGAAAACAGGAGACAGTCTGTTCAAATATAACTTTTTTAAATGACTAGGGGAAAACTACTAGAAGAACGCATATTAAAATACTGTTTTTTGCCTTAAGGTGGTAGTATTATGGATAATATTTCCTGTTTCCCAAATATCTTTATAATGTGTTTTACTTAAAAAAATTTTAGTGTAATTTAAATATTAGCCAGATAACCACATAATATATTACTGTCGAACAATTTCAGGTATCTGTACCATTTGCTGGTTTCAATCTGAAAAATACCAACAACAGAAATCCTACTGATAACATCTTGATTTCCCCTTATCCCATGAGGAATTATGGATCACACAAAGCATAACAAAGGACTACTTCTCAAGTGCCTAAAACGGTAACAAAAATAGGAAATCTGCCCTTTACAAAACCCATTACAGTATAAATATACCTCATCATATATGCTCCCATTAATGTCTGCACCATAGATAGGTGCCACAAAAGTTAAGTTCTTCCAGTACTTGCGCTCCAAATCTTCATAATCCAAGTATCTTGGAGTACAGTATCTGCAAAAGGTAAATGAAAAGAGTACAAACCAATACGACGATATAAGATTTTCCCCACCCATATCACTTAAATCACTTTCCAAACAAAATTTTATCAAAATGAAAACAATGCAGCAACTCATGTTGTCAAATCTAACAAGCAAATATACAAATGTATTTACCATGGATCTCTGGATATTCTAAATATTCCTAAATAACTCTAAATAATAACTTCATATATTTTACTAATAAGGAAAATACTCTCATGAAAGTATCAAATATAGAAGGAGAAGAGTTAAAAACTCATTATTTTATCTTTCAAATTATTTTCTAAAATCTTTAACCAATTATTCTATACTAGTAAATTTTATAGACTTAACATGCAAAAGATAAGACATCTATAGAAAAATTGACCAAAAATAATTTCACTAAAAGTCAAGGAAAGCAAAACCAAAATAAGATACTTTGCAACCATTAGATTGGCAAATGCTTAACATATTAATGGTAGGAAAGAATGAGACCTCTCTCACACAGCTGGAATGAAAGTATAAAGTAGTACAAACTTTCCAGAGTATAATTTTTTACACATATCAAAACCTTTAAAAAATGTGTATCTTCAACCCTAAAATCCAACTCTGGAAATTCATTCTAACAATGCAGAGGCATATACAATGATACATGACCTGGGATGTTTGCTCCAGTATTAACTGAAAACTCAAACTAATGTCGTCCAACTACAAGGACTAAGTTAAATAAAATACAGAATACAAAATAAGGTAATCTTTCTATGTATTGATATTAATATTTTTCCACAATGAACTAAGTAGGTTATAGAATGGTGAATATACTATGATAATATTTATGTAAAAAAAATCTATAACTGGGGGAAATCGGAGGGGTAGATGAACCATGAGAGATGATGGACTCTGAAAAACAAACTGAGGGTTCTAGAGGGGAGGGGGGTGGGAGGATGGGTTAGCCTGGTGATGGGTGTTGAGGAGGGCACATTCTGCATGGAGCACTGGGTGTTATGCACAAAAAATGAATCATGGAACACTACATTTAAAACTAATGATGTAATGTATGGGGATTAACATAAGAATAAAAAAAAAGAAAAAAGAAAAAATATCTATAATTGTACTCAAAAGGCCAAAAAGAAATATATACCATATTATTAATATTAATGGTTATCTTTCACATTGGAATTACAGAAAAGCAGACTTCTCTGTATTATTTGGATTGTGAACAAATAATTTTATATTAATACACACACAAAAAACAGTATTTCTACATGAAAAAAGAAATCAGCGAAACAAGAAAGTAATGAAACAGGTTTTTTAGCAGTAAAAAGAGTGTTTAGCAGCAGTAGCAATCCCCATAAAGCCTACTGACATTCTATTATAGATTTAACAACTGTAGAACAATCAAAATCAATACCCACTATACTGGGACCCCAAACTAGTTACCCAAGCATTAAGCAAGAAAACCAAACAAATTAACAACTGTATCTGAAATATAGAATAGTTTGCTGATTTACCCAAAACATTAGAATCTCAACAGTGCTGTGAATTGTGTAAGACTGTTGAATCACTGACCTGTACCTCTGAAACAAATAATACCTTATACGTTAAGAAGAAGAAGAAGATAGCAGGAAGGGAAGAATGAAGGGGGGGGAATTGGAGGGGGAGACGAACTATGAGAGACTATGGACTCTGAGAAACAAACTGAGGGTTCTAGAGGGGAGGGGGGTGGGGTATGGGTTAGCCTGGTGATGGGTATTAAAGAGGGCAAGTACTGCATGGAGCACTGGGTGTTACACGCAAACAATGAATCATGGAACACTACATCAAAAACTAATGATGTAATGTATGGTGATTAACATAACATAATAAAAAAATAATAAAAATAAATAAATAAAAAGAGTTAAAAAACAAACAAAAAAAGAATCTCAACAGGACAGCCAAAAATAAAAAGGATGGGCATGAAAGCATCATTAACTCCACTGTATTCCACCACTTCAATTAGTAGGTTCCAACAGTAATAAGAATTCTAGGCAAGCTAACCAGAGGTCATACTCGTGACAAAGGTAACAGACATACTGTTTATTATGCCTTACAGAGAAATTTGTTGTATTTTTAAATACTAAAGTCCTAACTTGTGTTTCACTATAAGAGACCCAAAGAATCTATCACTATATACTACTCAATCATGATCAATTTTAACTACCTATAACTCTAAAAAAGAAACATATGGTTCAGTATTGGCTACTGAGGTTAAATTCTAAGATCTGTGAATATAGTATTTGTTGACTGAATGAATAATGATTCTAAACTTGGAAAAAAAAAAAAGTGACCAGTTCACTCAGTTGGTGCCCAATTCTAATGAAAGCTGGCTACAGATTCCATCCCTAATAGATTGTCAGTCACAGCTGTCCCAGGGCACCTGGGTGGCTCAGTCGTTAAGCATCTGCCTTCTGCTCAGGTCATGATCCCAGGGTCCTGGGATCGAGCCCCGCAACCGGCTCCCTGCTCAGCGGGAGGCCTGCTTCTCCTTCTCCCACTCCCCCTGATTGTGTTCCCTTTCTCGCTGTGTCTCTCTCTGTCAAATAAATAAAATCTTAAAAAAAAAAAAATCCCAGCTGTCCCACAAATCCAGTATCAATTTTCTCAAAAGCAATCCAACCATTCCTTTTTCCCAGAACCTTTTATTCACTGTATTACAATTGTTAAGAGATGAGTCTCCAGGACCAGCCTGCCTAGAGTTTTGAATCCAGGCTTTGCCATGTATGAGCTATGTAATCCTGGGCAAGAGACTGAATTTCTCTGGACCTCAGTTATTCCTCTATAAAACAGGGATAATAACAGTTGAATTACTGTGAGGACTCCATTACATAATTATGTAAAGCACATAGCTCCATGCCTAGAATAAAGTATAGATCAGTAATGTAAGTGATACAAGAGAGTATTTAAAGTTTTATAGGGGCGCCTGGGTGGCTCAGTTGGTTAAGCGACTGCCTTCGGCTCAGGTCATGATCCCAGGGTCCTGTGATCGAGTCCCACATCGGGCTCCCGGCTCAGTGGGGAGCCTGCTTCTCCCTCTGACCCTCTCCCCTCTCATGCTGTTTCTCCCTCGCTCACTCTCAAATAAATAAATAAATAAATAAATAAATAAATAAATAAATAAATAAAATCTTTAAAAAAATAAAGTTTTATAGTAGAACTATGTTGGAGGTCTCTAGATTTTCTTTGAACTAAGTTGTGTTATTAACCAAATGAGCATGTTATCCTGTCTACTGTTTACACCAAGCACTTTATGCACTGTGCACCTATGCAAGGGCATATACTGAATGAAGGAAAACAGATGAGCAAAAAAAACAGGAGAATGCCTCCTGCTTCCCATGAAAATTAACTCCATCTCAGGACCATCCTATAACTATTATGAACACTACTCGACCCGACTACAGCTGTAAGTGAACAAGCAAGAGCCTTGGATTGAGGCTTAGAAACCCAGTTCACGGACATTTGAAATAAATTTCCCACATGGAATTGACAGAGGAAATATAAAAAGAATTTTCAAAGGTATTTTTTTTCCTAGGAATCTTCATTTTATTTTTTTCTCTCCAAATTCCTATTTAAATTCTAGTTAGTCTACATATAGAGTAATATTGGGTTCAGAAGTAGAATTCAGTGATTCATCACTTACATACAGCACCCAGAGTTCATCATAACAAATGCCCTCCTTAATACCCATCACCCATCTAGCCCATCCCCCACCCACCTCCCTCCATCAACCCTCAGTTTGTTCTCTATCATAAAGAGTCTCTTATGGTTTGCTTCCCTCTTTTTTTTTTTTTCCCTTCCCATACGTTCATCAGTTTTGTTTCCTAAATTCCATATAAGAGTGAAATCATATGGTATTTGTCTTTCTCTGACCAACTTATTTCACTTAGCATAATACACTCTAGCTCCATCCACATCATTGTGAATGACAAGACTTTTTTGATGGCTGAGTAATATTCCATCATATGTATGTATATGTATGTATGCTGTCGAAAAATAAAATCTTAAAAAAAAGTACAAAAATTTATAAAGAAAAAAAAAAGTTGGGTAAATGTGCTTCCACAATCTTGTTTCAATAGCATTACACTAATAAGTGGCTAAAAGAGTTCTTAAAGTGTTTGAATGCAAACCAGTCCAGTCTATGATAAAAGTTTCACATTCTCAATAAATGAGATCTAAAACAATGAGGCTTTACTAGTGCCTATCAAAAATTCAAAATGGGCATAGGGGCGCCTGGGTGGCTCAGATGGTTAGGCGTCTGCCTTCGGCTCAGGTCATGATTCCAGGGTCCTGGGATCGAGCCCCGCATCGGGCTTTCTGCTCGGCAGGGAACCTGCTTCTCCCTCTCCCTCTGTCTCCCCCCTGCTCATGCTCTCTCTCTCTCCGTATCTGTGTGTCTCAAATGAATAAATAAAATCTTTAAAAAAAAAAAAAATTCAAAACGGGCACCTGGGTGGCTCAGTTGGTTAAGCGACTGCCTTCGGCTCAGGTCATGATCCTGGAGTCCAGGGATCAAGTCCCGCATCAGGCTCCCTGCTCAGCAGGGGGTCTGCTTCTCCCTCTGACCCTCTTCCCTCTCGTGCTCTCTGTCTCTCATTCTCTCTCTCTCAAATAAATAAATAAAATCTTTAAAAAAAAAATTCAAAACAAGGGACTCACATGAAATATAAAACTTTTGGGGTGAGTCCAAGATGGCAGAGGAGTAGGAGACCTAAATTTCGTCTGTCTGAGGAATTCAGCTAGATAGCTATCAAACCATTCTGAACACCTATGAACTCAACTAGAGATCAAAGAAAAGAATAGCAGCAATTCTATGAACAGAAAAGCGACCACTTTCTGCAAGGTAGGACGTGCAGAGAAGAAAATCTGAGGCGATAAATGGGAAGATAGACAGCAGCGGGGAGGGAGCCTCCCTCAGCCAGCTACTGGCAAGTGATAGAGCAGTGGAGCACAAAACTGGAA